GAAATGAGTTTTCCTGTGTGAACAGAGAATAAAGCCTCCAGACCTGAGCTGTAGTAGATGAACATGAATCTGAGCTGGAAACTATATTATTTAATTCTTTCAGTCCCTACAGAGTCTTTAATCACAGCTGTTTTTATGGATGTGAACATATACAGATTAAGTGTAGGCCCTTATCATCCACTGCTCATCTCACTGTCCCAGTGGGAGATGTATTTTATGAAGAAAACCATTGAGAAGGAAAAATAATGTATATTATCATAAATAATATGTTCTCTAATGTATCTTTACTGCTGCTTAGCATTGCATCACAGCAGTGATGTAGTGCCATACAATATACTCCCTCTATGCTGATGTGGGCGTCTTTGTTGTCAGTTGGTGTAGATTGTTGCCTGTGGCAGCATCTTTGCAGTGAATCGGTGTGTGGAATATCGACACCACCCAGTGGTCACAGTGTGTATTTCAGTGTGAGCCAAGCGCAGCGACGGCTCCCTGCAACGGAATCTGTGTCAGCAAGTGGAGCAGCAACTCCAGCTAGCGGTCACTGTACGACACTGTGCCTCACCTCACTGTTTTCTCACTTTCTCACACCAGTGGTTCCCGGCATTTTTCGGTTGTGAACGTTTCAACCAAAAATTGATGTTTGTTTTTTGCCTTATTTCATTAGAATAAATTTTAAAGATCTGAAGAATTTCTCAAGAATATTTCCCTAATAATCAAAGACGAGAATAAAGTAAAACTAAAGAGTTATAATCAGATTATAAATAAAATAATATTAAAAATAATATTCATGTGTAAGCAGAACTTTAATAAATTAATACTTTACATATCATAGAAATAGATCACAAATTATAAATTTATATTTTTTGTATGTAAAATCTCAGTCTGCAAAGTATCTTGTGAATTTAACTGTCTAATAAATAAAGTGAAAGAGTAAAAAAAATAACAATACTGTCCTCTGAAAGGCAGAGCATACAACAGATATTGTATTTAGAAAAACAATATGCGAGAAAACAGGTATATTTTATAAACATGTTTCTTTACTGCGCAGCCTCCCGGAGAGAGATGCAGAAGGACATGGAGGCTGTGATGCCACCAAAATCCTCCCCTAAAAGATTTGCAGTGGTTTCACCCAAGCCTCAGTCCCCTGGTGAGTCCCACACACTCATACATCACACTGCAGTGTGTGTGTGTACATGTGTACACATACTGTGTACACATGTACACATAAGTGCAACAAAAGGAGGAAGTAGTAGTCAGCTCTGCAGCACCTTCTGCTTCTACTGTACCTTTAAGATTTACCGTCTCTCTCTCTCTCTCTCTCTCTCTCTCTTGCTCTCTCCTCACTTCATTACAAGACCCATGACAGCCTGTTGTTGTCATAGCAACAGGCTACAGTAGCTGTAATGCTAGGATGGCTCCTCCAGTAGCAATCCTGCTGGGTCAGATTACCACAACACAAGTCAGCATTTTGTCCTTTTCTCAGAGACCAGACAGACACAATAACCTGAGCACTGAGTTCCAGTCAAGGCGCTAAAGGCTTCAGCACTGCACAGCATACTGTGCATCTCGGTGTGTTGAGATGAGAGAGGAAATTGCTGCTGATTGGTGTGAGCAGTGAGCAGACTTGAATAACAGCGACTTGGACAGACCATTTGTCTGTAAACCACTGAGGTTCCAATCAGTCAGCGGTGAATCTGTTTGTGTATGTGTGTGAGGTGAGAGAGAGCAGTGCAGTGTAGCTCAGCTGTATGGTGTTGCTATTGGGGGTGCAGCTAATGATTCTGGATGAATATGTTTATTATCAGTTAAGCTATTGGTTGTTTTTCTATTAATGATTTATTTCAAACAAATAATAAATGGGAGTAAAATAGTTAAAGAAATAATGTTTACAGAATCCTAGATGACATTTTCTATTTGCCATTTCATCTCACCAACAGTCCAAATCCCAAATATATTCAATTTACAATCACAGAAAACAGATCAGTAAATAATACAATCATATAAAACAATTCCTTAGCAGGAAATTCTGATTATTTAGTAGCTTGAATCACTGAATGTTTTGCATCTTTGCTTGATAAATTACTTAAAGAGTTCATGGATTATCAAAACAATCAAAATATTGAAAACACGTCGGCATTCACAGAGGGAAGTGTAATTTTGTAAATTGATCTTATACATGTGATATTCTTTATAGATGTTGTCCACTTGTGTATGGAAGTTGTCCACATTTCTCTCAGAAGTCTCATATTAGAGAAAATATCTCAGTATATTTTCTGTCTCTACAGTTCGTGGGCGGACGGCAGCAGTCCACAGTTCTGTCCGGACGGACAGGGCCCAGGAGCTGGACCGGGCTCTGATCCAGCAGCTGCGGGAGCGCTGTGGGCAGCAGGCCCTGCAGCTCCAGAGCCTTCAGGCCCAGTTAAAGAAGGCTTCCCTGTGCCTGGACGTTTTCAGCATCACCACCCAGCACTTCTGTCACAAGGTAGGCCACAGCAGAGCACTCATCGTTGCCTTGTGGATCTTTTGTTTATCAGTACATCTGGCTGCCTTTGTTGTTGCCATTGTTATTTTTGTACGATTTTGTCCAGTTATAGTGACACACTCTCTCTCCTCCTCCCTACACTTGTAAATCAGTCCAATTCATTTGCCAGAAAAGAGACAAAACACACAATAAACACAGTTAAAGATGAATTTGAATTATTATTATTTTCAGATTTTCTCCTGATATCACAATAACATTGTTTTCATGAATTTGTTTGGCCACAATAATCGTTTAGTGAGAATCTTATATCGTGATCCCAATTAAAGCCCAAATTCTTTCCTAAATTGTAAGACAGGCCTGTAGCAGGCTGCATTCCCTTTCTCTCCCTTTCCCTTTATGGTCAGTATGAGGAAGCTCTGACATCCAAGATATCAGAAATGAATCCCAGGAGTATGCCCTGGATTTAATTTCAAGATAAATTAGCTGATGGATGTCATGAATTTGATCTTTTCTTGTATTAAAAATTTCTGCAGGGATGAATTTTCAAAAGAGCCCTTGCTCGTAAATGCATTATTGTGTAAGACCAACATAACTTGATAAAGTGACTGTAACATTCATCATGATGGATGCATCGCCCATATCAGGCGAGGATCATATCTCTGCCAGCTGGTTTTCATATCACTCTGAAATGAAAAGAGGCACTGGCATAGTAAAGTGTCAAAATGAATTTAAAAACCTAATGGTGTGTTTTGGGAAAAGGTTGACAAAGTATTCATCATTTTGAGACAATAGGATAAAAACCAGCTGTATGGTCTTGAAATAATGCGAACAGAATCGTCTAATAGAAACCGCATCCTTTTGCTGAAATCAAGCATCTTGGTTAAGCCTGCTGTGCGTTCACTGTGCAGCCGTATTCCAGCCTAACAAACAACACATTCCTGCTGTAACAACTACACAAGAAAAGGTAGCTGGCTTCAGGCTGCAACTACAAAGCGCAGCGTCTTCACTGGCACAAATGACACCTGTAGCATCTGGCTTTTGTTGTCAGCATCACTTTCTTTCTTTCTTTTGATCCCGTTTTGAAAATGTAAATGGAACTAACTGAAGTGACACTGTTTGTGGGGAAATACTGAGGATTTCCTAAGGTTTCTCCAATAGTTTAAACAAAGGGAATCGTGATGCTTTATGGCTTTTTTTATAGGCTACGTTTAAGTGGACAGTGTATGGACATACATAAGCATCATCTCGTGGTGAGTCTTCTCCCGTTGTGTAAGATATCACTGACAATGATGCGGAAATACTCGGTAGAAGAATCAAACTAACAAACAGTCTGCTTGCACACTGTGACTGAGTGTGTTCTGCCTCCAAAACCTGGATTAAGCGCCTGTTTCTTGCCCTCTCGTGGTGCTCTGCTTGCATTTCATCCATTTCCTAGCCCCACCCACGGGTTCTGATCTACAGTGGCAGATGATAAATGAGATTAGAGCTGCCTGCCTGGGCCGGGCTGTGCTTTTAGTGAGAATGATTGTTAGACACAGACAGAATACCCACTAAGGTCTGACGGGTGGAAGATCTTGAGATATATGCATCTGAGAAACACCTGCAAATAATAAGTATGGAGGGATGGGACTCCCCTTCAGAAATGGTCCTTCGAATTGGTTTTCAGTCATTACTATCAACTAGATGTCAGTGTTAGCAATTTTTAGATGTAAATTACAAGTGAGCTTGAGCCTGAAATGTGTATTATGTCTTGTCCATGTCCAAGATATTGTACTTTGGCTGTGATATGTGTTTTAAGATGTGTACAAGCAGTGACAACATGAGATGATGAGGTTCTTGAAAGTATAATGTTTGTATGACACTGACGAAGAAATATAGAAATAGAAGCTTGGGTTTCTTTTTCATGAGCATCAGTGAATTTAAAGTGCTTCATTGGATTATTAGAAACTTTACATCCAAAGCTGCAATCTGGACATCATCCTTCAGTCAGATCTATTTGGAATTAATTATTATCTATTAAGCATATGTGGGTTGGATGTGTGCTGTAATGCCTGCTACATGGAGCTGTTTTCCCTGAGCTGAGTAACAGAGCAGATAATTGGCCACTTATTGATCATCTCCCTCCCCCAGCTTCTTCTGCTCCACTCTTTTTGTTTTTTCTTAAAGATGCAAAAGACCGCACGTGTGTGTGTATGTGTGTGTGTGTGTGTGTGTGTCTGTCTGTGGGTTGCTCCCTGCCATGCGTGTGAATGTGATACGGGGCGTGCTGGTGGGGGTTTAAGGGGTGGGCAGGCAGAGCTGGGCTGGGCTGGTAGTCTTTGTTCTAGCAGGGATAAATGCCGGTCGCAAACCAGGAAACGAGGTGAGGCTTTGGTCTTCCCGTCTCTCCTCCCCTCTCCTTCCTTCGCCTGGTTCCCTCCCCCCCTCTCTGTCTATCTTTCTGTATCTTTCTGGCACTCGCATCTGTCACTGCTGCCTCCCCAGCCGGCTCAGGGATGCTGCTGTCTGCTAGCCTAGTATGGGCCATTGCTGCTGTGGGCTCACTTTCCTCCCTCTGCGCTGTCTGGACCAAACGGTAAAAGGCAGGATCTTCTGCAGGCAGCAGGCTTGTTTCAGCACCGAGGATTCCTTTATGTGTGTGTGTGTGTGGTTGTGCGCATGTGTGTGTGTTTGATGGGGGGGGGGGGTCTGAGTGCGTCTGTTTATATGAGCATTATGTTCACTCGTTTCCTAGAGACAGAGCTATGGAGAGAATAAATCTGTGCATGATTGTGCTGAGTCAAAGCAGGCTTGTCTGTCGCACTGTCCCTCTTTCTTTTCTCTTAGAGTTTGCAGGGACATTACATAACATGCTACTGCTGCTATATTCTTACACCTGTCTTTTTTTTTTTATTCCGGTGTGTACATTGTGTTCTTAATTTACATCTGCTCGTCTAATTCTTGGTGATTACATTCCATCGGCTGCAAAGGGTAACTTTCACTTTGGTTATTCTCATGTTTGCCTGATGTTGCTGAATTTCTCAGCTACAAGAAATCACGTGGTCAGTTTTCTGCATGAAATTCATGCTGTGTGCTCAGTGGAGCCTGAATCTCTTCAAGACAAGAAGTCCAAACAAAAAGGCAACTGCACACTGGAAGGATTTTATGAACTGGAGATACATAGGTTGAGGTTAATTAACCTTAATTACAGTATCTCCTCAAGAATGAGCACCATTACTACAAAAAGCCATGTGTATTCTTTTCCAGAAGGTATGATGTACAGCGCTGAAATGATAAGTTGATTGATAGAGAGATATTCAATTATTGGTCATCCATAAACATTCCCGCTTCTCAAATGTGCAGATTTCTTGTTTTATTTCACTGTTGACTATATTTGGGTTTTGTTTAATAGTGAAGAGCATTTCTCACTATTTTCCTTATGCTATAACCTAACAAAAGAATCACAAAAATAATCAACAGTGTAATCGATAATAGAAAGAGTCCCCAGTTAGTTGCAGCCCTAAACATGGATTATGTTGCCTGGGTGGGGGCTCAATAGGAAAATTAGAATGCATGTCACACATAACTCCCTGGAGAGCAGAATAGGGGGTTGTTAGGGGCAGGACTAAGGAATGATGGGTAGGAGCAGAGGTGGAGTAGTAGAGTAAGAAAAGAAATGAAAAAGCCACTGACCATGCTTCATCCCTCATGAGGTCACTGCAGTCTACCCCTGATGACTGTATGTTCCAAGTAAAACCTCTTAAAGGGTGACATCATTCCTGCCGAGACACACCATCTCATACATATTTCACCTGCTCCACTCCGTCTCTTTCTTTCATTGTTTCTCGTAAGCACTGTTCTGTGATCAGCGCTTTATCTCTGAGCAACAGTGTGCATAGCCATCTCTGCATGTTTAAAGTTGTGATCAGTAGTCATTTCACTGACTGTTGTGTCTGCCTCTGTGAGTAAGATGTGCTCCCAGGATGTCACATCACGAGGAGTCCCTGGAGGATGCTGGAGGAGCCTTTAAGCTCTGTGTGGAGACTTTTTCAAAGTAAAATGTAAAACTTTATTTTGAAAAATGTTGTAGTTGACTCTTACATGGTGCTATGAAGCATTCAGCTTAAAGGAGCTATTTGTAAGTTCTGTTATTGCTACATAGCCACAGTTAGCATTAACAGCTGTTTACTTATCAGTCTAGAAGAAACATTGTGAGTTCAGCATCAAATTTAATTCCTTTTCTCACCAAGAGCTGTCTCCAACAACGCCAATGTTAACTCTTGTCTTTTCTTCTACTGAAGTGAGCATGCTGACCAGCTAGCCCGGCCCACCTTGTCACTTTCTGATAGCGACTCACTGCAGCCTCCAATCTGCTGTGTAGACGTAGCGCTGCTCAGACGGTGTATTATAACCTTTTGTATCATAAGAACAACAATAACCAAAGCTCTTGTGAACTGACAATCACCAACACCTGCTCCCGGCAAAAAAACACATTCATCAGCAGAGAAAACTTACAAATAGCCCCCTTAGTGTAAGACGCTTGGTTACTATGATCCATAGTAAAGTAGATGATACACTGATATCAAATTGTAAAGGTGCAAATAAAGTGATTGGTTTTTTCACTATAATTAACAGAAATGATAAAAACGTTGTTGCCATTCCTGACGTGTTCTTTGATTCACTGTGATCTGCGAGAACCAGGCAGCACACAGCCGTTTATCGTCAAATAAATAGTAAAATAGTAAATAGTAAAATAGACTGTAGCTGCCACTTCTGACCTTTAGTCCAGTGTACGGTAGTGATTGCGAAGTGAAGCTTTATGAACCAGCAAAGCTTTCAAAACAGTTGTGTTTAAGAAAAGGTTCATTGCTCAAAGCTTTTCAAATCAGAGCTCAATGGGGACCCTGAAAATATATCACTGTGCAGACATCCATGCATCATTCTGGATACAGTTGAATTTACTATTTGATGCAAGATTGATGCCCTTTATAAGAAAGGAGCTTAAGGCCATCTTTTCTCTCTTAATTCTCTTAATATGAATTATATCATCATACCCATCATAAACCAAATTTTCAGTTACCACTATTTTGTTGACTTGGAAAACTTGGGAAACATTAAACAGCACAGAATCCTGCAGAAGATTAAATTACCTGTAGTTGTGTATCACCAAATGAATATTACTCTGCATCAAAGCCATGGAGACATAGAGCCCCTTGGCCATTTGACTTGAAGGTATTATTTTTACACTGGCTCTCACTTTAATACAGACTGGCTTAATTACTGTCTCGCGGTCTGCCATATAATAGTCATGTGAGTGAGACAATATAGACATAATCCTCTATGGCAGTATAACTGTAACCTGTTCTTTTTGTAATTAATGAGTTGCAGCAAGTTGTGAATTATTCAAAACATCAGTCTAACATTTGATCTTGTGGTCGGTTATATTTGACTAGTGTATGTAAACTTGACACAACACGAACCGTGGTTACATAACCTTCGAAAATGAGTAACTTGTGTGTCATGGGTGCGCTCCAGAGGGCACTGCACTCCTGCACATGTGATGGGACAATATTTTTGATGAAAGAAAATGTAAATGTAGATGGAACATCCTTTCGGTCTATAATCCTCTCATGCATATATCACTGCCAACATTTTGGGTTCAAAATGTCTCCAGCCATCTCTCATGTCTCTTCATGTTTCTCCTAACAGTTTCTGGTATGTATATGTATATGTATATGTATATATATGACACCTTTCAGCATAATGCAATACAATTTAACAGCACAACAAACTACAGCCTCTAAAAATACCTGTAAAGTTGAATCAACACCTCCATAAAATCAGTTTTAACAAAAACTGAACATTGTAACCTTCACAGATTGTTTTGCAGGGCTGTTGCTTTAGTTTTTAACTGACAATATATCAATATTCTAAAAAAAAATGCTCTTATTAGTATTGTGATATTAATTTCAATCATATCACCCAGTTTTATGTCAGTTGCAGCTTAAATTTGTGCCAAAACTGTAACATCCGTTTCCCAAAGGCTTACTATGGTACTGTAGGTGTTTGTAAGAAATCCATTTGTACAGTTCAGAGGTGCTCATGTATGTGTTATATGTGTTTGCATTTCAGAGTGAGAGTGCCATTGTGAAAGAGAGGGAACTGTCCCTGGAGCTTGCCAAAATCAGGGATGAAGTGGGTAAGTGGGATACAGCTTGATATACTGTATATGGCACCACAGGGAGGACAGAAAGGAATGAGTCACTCACATCTCCCAGTATTATCAAGTCTTATACGGTGTGCACAAGGGATGGGAGGAACAAATGACTCCTGGGGAATCCACTCTGTTGATTGAAGTCTGGATTTAGTCCAAGATCGAACACCATATACTAGATACTATAAAAAGAAGTGACTCTGACAGCTTTAGGATTTAGATCATTCAAAAAAAAAAAAAAAAATGGGCACAAACATACAACTGCTAAATTAACTTTGGTGCATCTTCTTTTGTAGTGAGTACATGACCTAAAATTTGAATCCAGTAAAACAAACTCCATCATCCATCTCCATGTCCCAGCTTTCAGTGTTGCACACTGGGAGCAACTGCAGCAGGAGAAGGAGGAACTGGAGCGGCGTTTTGAGGCTGAGCTGCAGGGGTTGCGGGCTCAGCAGCAGAGGGAGCTGGGAGCGCTGGAGGAGCGGCTGAAGACGCAGCACACGGCCGAGACCGAGAGTCTGCAGGCACAGCAGCAAGCCGAGCTGGAGGAGCTACGGGTGAACCAGCAGGAGCAGGTGTGTGTGTTTTGATGAAGACTCGATATAAGCCGCACACATCTGATGTAAGAAGTTGATATTGTGTGGTTCGCAAAGCATTTGAAACTGATATTTAAATATTTCAGCAGCAACATGTGTTTCCAGAAGCAATGTCCCAGTTCCTCTGGATAATCTTCAGATCACTGTGAAATGTTTTCACTGGGACTGCTGTCTACTGAAGAAATAGTCCCCATGAAAACTGTTACACGATCCATTACTACACCCCCTAGTGTGTATGCACGTGCGAATGTGTGCTTGTGATGTGTCTCCAGATCGAGGAGATGAGTGAGAACCACGAGACGTCCCTGATGGAGATGGAGACGGCTCACAATGACACGCTGGCCACTCTGCAGGAGGAGCACGCCAGGACCGTGAAGAGTGAGCGCCAATGTTTCAAAACCTGCCGCTTTTCTTTACCGACTCGCTCTGTTGCAGGTTAAGAGAGGTAACACTGTCTTATCTCTTGTGTTAGATTTGAAGATGGCCCATGAACAGCAGAGGAAGTCCCTGGAAGAAGAGTTTCAAAAGATCAGACTGTCACTGCAGGTTAACACTCCTTTAAATGATCTCTCTTTATCTCTCCACAGATACGTAGTATGATACTTTTTGTGGTTAGAGACAACAATATCTGTGTGGTCAACAGGATCAGGTGGACACGCTGACGTTTCAGAATCGCAGCCTCAGAGACCGAGCCAAGCGATTCGAGGAGGCTCTTCGCAGGAGCACAGATGAGCAGATAGTGGTAACTGATACATCGCTGGACAATATCTTGACTGCTTTGGTGACAGTAGCTGGATACAACAGAAAGAAAGCAAGACTGATGGTGGCTTTCACTAATGATTTCTGCTTTTGGCAGGATGCTTTGGCTCCGTATAAACACATTGAGGAAGACCTGAAGAGTCTGAAAGAAGTTCTGGAGATGAAGAATCAACAAATTCATCAGCAGGAGCTGAAGATTTCAGAGTTGGAGAAAATAGTAGGCTTCAAATTTCTGCTTTTGTTTGAAGGAAACTAATGCTTGTTTCAAGTCAAGTGAAGTGTTGAAGTGTTGTCCAGTACCAGCTAACATGTAAGGTCAGCTAATGACAGCAAAAAATAACAAAGGACTAATATTTTGGTCAGGACAAATGTCTCCTTCACAAACCATCATCATTTAGCATATTCCCCTGTTTCACTGGTTCTAGACTGCCATTTCTTCATTTAAAGAATTTAAAGTTGTGCACCTTATGTTCTGTGTTTTTGAGCAGGCTGAAAAGAATGTGTACCTGGAGGAGAGACTACAAGTGTTACAGCAGCAGAACGAAGACCTGAGGGAACGAATAGACAAGAACCTTGCTGTGTCCAGGTCAGTTTAAATCCACACTAGTGCGGATTTAAGACCTATTTAAAATCAGTAGAAATGAATTATATTTCATCATCTTGTTATAAAAAATATATGTTACAATATGACCTTGTATAACCCCAAGATCAAGGATCAAGGGATGTACTCTCTGTGTATATATACTGTACAGTAGAGGGCAATTTTAGGCAAATAGAGCACTGGGCAAAGAACATCTCAGGCATATTCAGCTGTTTTTTATAACTATGACCTTGCAGCTGGAAATTTCTGATTTCTGCTGGCGATAGGAATGCAGCACTAGTACATGGCGCTTATGTTTTAACTTTTTCTCACACCTCTTCTTCCTCAGACAACTCTCTGAGGAGAACGCCAACCTGCAGGTGCACGTGGAGAAGGAGAGCAACGAGAAGAAGCGGCTGAGTCGCACAAATGAGGAACTGCTGTGGCGTCTTCAGACTGGCGAGCTGAGCCCTCGCATGTCCCCTAGCTCCTCCCCCATCCATAGCTCCTCCCCCATCAATCGGCCATCCTCCGGACAAGGCTCCCCCGCCCGTCCACACTCCTACCATCAATGACACTCTCAATGGAAGCTCTTGTGTCGAACGCTTTCTTTTATCTGGCATCGGAAGCCCTGATTTTTTGGAGACTCTGTTGAATGTTCCTCTCAGATAGATTTTACACAACGTAGATGGACAAACACAAATAAGTTTGTTTCTTGGGAAATGCCAACCCGCCCATGTGATGCATTTCCAAAGTCAAACGCCAGGAATTTTAATCTCTGACCTAAAGAATTGTATTAATGATCACGCTTCTTATTACTCGTAAGGGAATTCTCTGCCCTCCTCTTTTTCTATTCCACCCGAACGCCCCACAAAGCTGCGACACTGCAGCAGATGAAAGACCTGGTCATTGTAGACGTCAGAGAGCAGTGCCTCATTTCCATGTTTTCACCTCCATCTACATCTCCACCCTCTCATCCAGCGCTCAGGATGACGGATGAACGAGAAATGCAAACATCAAAAGTACAACAATGAACACAAGAAGCGCCTTTGCTGTCCAGTCTCTCCCACCAGCAACGGCACGGGCAATACTTCTGAGTAAAAATCACAAAACTACCTTTAGTAAGTTACTCTCAAAGTGTGGATTCTTCTCTGGGGCAAGTCAACATTTTCATGCTGAAATATTTCATGTATCAGGAGTGTATGAATGACGACCTAGCCATCTAACCTCAATCATCCACCCTACTTTTTTCCTTAAACAGCTAGATATCAGCGCGGACCTGAAATGTATGATTAAGACAACATAACAACTCATAAGTCTATTGAACTGCCACCACGGTTTAGCTATGTTATTTATCATAATTTGTAAAAACTGTACATGTATTGATCTCTTTAAAGCATGTTCCGTCTTCCAGTTATAATGAACTTTATTTTAGGATTACCTACAGTGTGACGAAATGGAGTGGAGGGGTGAAGGTTACTTCTCGTTTCCAGTGACACAGAGCAGGATTTATTCAAATGAAACCAAGAGAAAAAAGATAATAGTATTATACATTTCAGACTAATTTTACATTTTTCTGGTGAGTTGATTCTCCCTCACCTGTAGTCGTCTTAAGAAAGTATAAGTATTTCCGAATGCCTCTCAGTTGAGTGCATACCTCCGCCAAAGTAAAGTATTGACGAGAATGTCAAAAAATGCCCTATTTCACAGTGTTGAGGAAAGTGATGAAAATAATTCTGGATCTTGCCCCTTTCACCAGATCCACTCCAAAAATTTACTGTATTTTTCCCTGTCTCATGCCCCATCCCTCTAACAAGCTTGGTGTAAATCAGTTCAGCACTTTCTTTGCGTAATCCTGCAAACTAACAAACAAACTAACAAACAAACAAACATGGGTGAAAACAAAAGTGCAGGATCTGTAGAAACCACCAAAGATGAAATCAATAAACACAGCAGCTCATCATGTATTATAGCATCACGTACTGTGTCATATGTCTGGAGGTACAGTAACTGCTGCAGAATCAGCCTTAAATGGTGCAGACATAGTAGTTTCCGTCACAAAGTATCGACTTGAACACATGTAAATCTGTTCATTGTGTTGCATTTGTACAGTTTTATTTTTCTTTGGTTAAGTGTACCTTATCGTTGCTCTTGCAGCCAACTGGAACTGTTTCTGTCACACTAAATGTTCTGTGTGTTTTGAGATTCAACACAGAAAAACCTTGAGAACAAATCAAAAAGAAAAAAACTGTCATGGCTTCCAGACTTTCATCCTCCATGAGTATCTCCAATTGACCTTTGGCAAACTCATATTGAGAAAAAAATTGGATAAAGCTGCAAGCTGTTACCTCATGTCTCATTGCAGAGAATAATCTCAGGTGTTGAGAATTATGAATCATCAAAGGGAAGCAACTGCCATAACTTTTTTTTTTTTTTGTATTACAGTAATTGTACTCTTTTTTTAAACTTATGCTCATGTTTACATAATAGCTCGACTGTCTGTTTGTCCTTTGTATAAAATTATTTGGATGTACAGAATATGTATACATATTTCAAAGAGCATAGTGCGGTCCGCAAATATATAAAAATAGTTTGAAGAAATATTGCTTTATTATAATAATATGATTTAATAATCAGCTCCCCGGATTTAAAACGTGGAAATCTGCTCAAACAGGAATTTGGTTGTAGGTGAGTTGTTTACTGTTCGGACAAGTTGATTATGTTTAACTTGGTCGCTGGTGGGTTTAACTGTGTTCTAAAAAGGAAGTGGTAAAGTGGATATTTCTTGCCATCAGGTACTTTGATTGCACTGATTGCCTCTGTGTCCTATGGACATGACCTAGTACTCATTTAGTGAGTGTTTGTTCGACGCTAGAATAAGAGGTTTTGTTTACAGCTCACACCCAGTGTCAGAGAGGGTTGGCGTGTCACATGGATGTCGGTACTTCTGTTGATTGTTTACTGGACTTCTGTTGTAACGATTGTATTTCAGTATTTCAGAAACCCATGCTCTGGATAAGTTTATATGAAAGCATGTCTTTATAAGGTTGTTGTGCATTATTTTTTGTTTGACATTTCTTGTGCATTTCATATATTTATTTATTTATTTGTCCTCCCCCAGAACTGCAACTGTAGCTTAGCTGGTTAAATTATTGTGGTCAGTGATGAGACACTAACATCTATACTGTATATGTTGCACTTTGTATTTAAGTATTAAATCACAATAAGAAAATAAGTGTACAAAAGATTTGGAGTGGATATATCTTTAAATATATAATTATGATACAGAGCTCTTTTTTGTCTTAGTAAAAATAGAAAATAATATATGTTTAAAGGACCAGTGTGTAGGATTCCAGGGGATCTAGTGGCATAAATGGATTATAATATTCATAATTATGATTCCATTGGTGTATAATCACCTGAAGCTAATAATTGTTGTGTTTTCATTAGCTTATTTACACACAGAGCGGGTCTTCTTTCACGGCGCCTGCCATGTTGCACCACCATGTTTCTACAGAAGCCCAGAATGGACAAGCCAAACACCTTTTTCCCTGTTAGCTGAAGGCCACCGTACTTCTCCTATACACTTGGAAAGGGAGGGGTAAGGGGTATTCAGATGCCACTAAATCCGACACACTGGTCCTTTGAAAAGTGAGCAGAGTGCTCTTGGACCACATCTAAAAGAGATACCACAGAGGCTTGTAACTGTAATAATATATAACAACAATAGTACAAATCTGCCTTAATTAAGCTCTTATAGGACTTGCTGGCTCTGAGATTCATCACTTCCTCTGCATGAAATTCTGCATCATATCTATGGGCAGAGGGAAGATGATGGTTGAGTTCTTCTCTGCTGCGATGGTGTTGAGCGTCTGAAGGTATCGCAGCTGGAGGCCAGAGGGTGATTCAGCGATCACCAGAGAGGCTTCTTTCAGAGCCCGGGAGGCCTTCATCTCTCCCTCTGCAGCAATGATCTGAAACACACACAGACAATCATTGTCTCTTTCCTCTTAGCGATCTCTTTTTTTTAATGATTAAAAGGTATGACGAGGAAATTAAATCAGATCTTCCATCGCCCTCTCCACCTTCGCTCTGGCCTCCCGGCTGGCTTCTGCCTCCGCTGCCATGGCTCTCTGCAGCTGCTGAGGCAACTTCACATCCTTGATCTCCACACGCTCCACCTTAATACCCCACGGATCAGTGGCTTCATCCAGAGCTTCCTGCAGGGGAATATTGAATAACAGTCAGAAAACCATTGTTATCGCTGTGGAGCCTTTGATTAGCTCATTTTGGCTTTGTGGTACATTTGTTCTTTGTTTCAACCAGGCGATAGTTTAATGCAAACAAGCTCTGATAAACCTAACAACATAAGTTAATGACAGCTTGTGAAAAATGCTACGATTCAATTTTTTTTTGTCACTTTAAACCAAAATAGAGATAAAATGAGAATCAATTTGAGCCCTATATTCATCAGGAGGTTAGAAACATGATGATAATGTTTCTCCATGACTGCTGGATATGTCAAGAGGCAAATATGACAAACTGTAAGAAAATCATGCCAGTTTCAGCTTGCTTTGGACTTCTTCTGCACCTAGTGGCCAAACCCGTCTACGGTGGCTGACAAGGGCAAACGCGCTGCAACGCTCCAGAACACTTCCATAAGGAGAAATGAGCTGCAAATTCAGAAATGATGCAGATTCAAAAACACATACGAAAATATAAAACAAATACAACGATGGAAACCAGCAGCAACTGAAAAAACTTGCTGCATGAAGCCAAAACAAACACGTGAACAGCCAACACTCTGCAAATACTGAAACAATGCAAAAACAAAAACACATGAACCCCCAAAACAAATGCAACAGGAAAAATGCTGCATATCTAGACAACCCAATGGGAGTGCTCCAGGCCTCTAGGGGGAGCGCTAAGTGGAACACCCATAGACTGTATATAAGCATGCTAACGCTTGCTGCGCTTTCTGTTGCTCTTTTATAATATTGTAAAAACTACAGCTAAATGTAAAAAAAGGAACATAACGCCTTTTTATCACCTTTTTATGTTGCCTCGTCTTTCTTTCCTCATACTCTCTCATTTGGTCAAAGGTCAAAGGTCAGGTCGTAGGTCTAGCTTCTCGGGTCAAAGCGCAAGCTCACGCTGAAGGTGTTCCACTTGTATTTGCTTTGTATTTTCGTATTTTTGAATCTGCATCGTTTCTGAATTTGCAGTTTGTTTTTCCTAAAAGAAGTGTTTTGGGCCATTGCATCTTGTTTGTCCTTGTTGGCCACCGTACCAAACCAACACCTGATGCAGCTTTGACATGATAGAGTTGGAGCTCATTGCCTCACTATCTTTTCAGGTTTTCAGGACCGTGAAAAGCACAGCGAGTTCACCTTTGTTTTGTTTTTTTTGTCAAACATTAGCGGCAGATTTTCCTCACTGCTTGTGCTCTCTTCCCGCATGAACATACTTTGCACCTGTTCAAAATGCAAACAAATCATTGTAAGGAAAATATGGAGGGTAATGAGGTAAATATTGGACTCCTGTTTGCACAGACACAGCAAGGTGCACACGCTGTTTGAAGAATGTTGATGGGCAATAAATTGTATTCTCATACTGTACATTTATGTACAGGCACACCTGACTTTCAGGTTTGAATGAAGGCTAAAAATCTTGTGTTTTTGTTGCCTCCACAAATCAAAAATGACTTTAACCGATGTAGTGGCCGTGAAAACATAAATTAATTTTGACTTTATGTTCAGCCATTTCTTTTATAGTTACTAAATTGAACATTCCCACTACTGTCACAGTGTATCCTCACCTGCATGCTGACTGAGATGCCCTCTCTGTCAGACAACAGCTCTGCAAGGTTCTTGGTACCGAGCACATTCCTCAGGGTGGTTTGAGCCAGCAGGCGAGTAGACGAGTGTGCGCTGGACACATTGGCCACAGATGAGATCGGGCAGTGTATGCGAAAGTACACCACGCCATCCACAGACACTGTCACTGAGTCTTTGGTGAGGATCTCCAAAGGTACAAAAACAAACGTTGCAGTTATGATGCTGCTACTATTTTGTCATCGTCCAGGAAGGTGATGGATGTTTCTTATTAATGACAGAAACTGTAGACAAACTATGATACAGGAGAGTACGAGAGACACAGATGATATCCCAACATTTGATGTAAATGGAGCAAATGCAAAAAAAACAAACAAAAAGAATGTACCTCTTGTGGAGGGATGTCAAAGGACACAGTTCTCAGATCCACTTTCACAAAGTTATCAGTGCAGGGCAGAACAAAGAAAAGTCCTGCAAAGAAATAAAGATCCTGATTTTATTTTAAGTATCCATCACAGACAATAAATATTTTCACAATATATTCAGACCATCCTACACTGCAGAAGTTCTAACAGGATCAAATAAGAAAAGTGTAAGTCATTCACTGATTCACTGAGCATCAAACTGGCTTGTAACTACTTTCAGACAGAAGTCCGATCCAACTCCACTGAACAGAACTCTATAGTGTCAAACATACTGGATCATAGCCAAACAAACTTTCTAAAAATAAAAAATTCTTTTCAGCCAGAAAACCAGTTTCTGTATCTTTCCCCCCTACAGCGTATGGTCATGCATGTAGCACATTAAATGACAAACCTGGCCCTTTAGGCTTCCTGTCTGTGATCCGGCCGAGTCTGAAAATCACGGCTCTCTCGTATTCATTCACTATCTGGATGTTAGAAACACAAACAGTCACACAAAGAATATACGAAAAAGACCAAAAACAAATCAGAAAAAAGACAATGATATCAGCCACATGAGTGAACTAAATGCAAATGCATGACTGTAAGTCCACCCACATGACTATCCTGACTGAGCCGGCCAGTATTATATAAAGTATCAGCCACTCGCTGTCATCCATTACATGAACTGAAACTGAAACTTCCTCCACATATTGGCTTAAAAGAGAAAGAACTACAGCCCCTTTAATGAATTTTAAAAAAAAAATGTTTTCGTGTCCTTTCACTCAAAAAGCTTATAGACTTTTAGAAAGTCAGACTGATGGATTCCGTTTAAGGTTTTCCTGACCTGCCAAAAATTCATGAGGGATATTGATGAAACTTGGTTCGAATTTAAAAAAGGTCATAAAGAAACAAGAGCGGTGAATGCAAACTAAAAAAAATCTGATACAAGGATGCTGATTTCTGCATTGGCTTTCAGACACAAATAGAAGTCTAATCTTAATCAGTAGCATTATACATCAATGAGGATATACTCTACCTTCACACACATAAATATTGCAAGCGGGAAGGTTGCTATTATAAAGAGGAGGGATACGAGGACCAACAGCCAACCGAAACATCCCAGTCTCCCTGAGTTTTTGTCTGTAAAGAGTGGAAAACACTTTAGAGTCTTTAAAGCACAGGACACACTATAGAGTATTTTGCATATTTTCCATGGCACCTTTGTTCCACTCGTGTGCCTTTCAATCCAGACAGAAGACAGTTGAAGTGATTTTGTAGTCACACAATTAAACAGTAATATAGTCCAGTGGGACGGCACCTTTTACTAAAGGTGACACAAAACATTCACTCAGTCAGGCAGTGAGGTGCAGTGGATACACACTCCTAATTTGTCATTAATGATGTAATTAATCTCTGAGGGAAGTAACATCACTTCAAGTTCACCTGAGTCACACAGTGTTGTGTAAAGCTACTGAACTATTGATATAACATTTCATTTTCTTACTCTTACACTAAAACTGTCATATAAATGTAGGCCTAATGAAATTAAAAAAAAAAAAAAAAAAAACATCACAGAGTATAGAGAAGGACTGGTAACTATCCAACTGCCAACTATCATATTTCCATGTCGTTATATTACGCATCGATTTGTTTAGTGCTGCTGCACATCCTTTATCCAAATGGAAAATTTTCTTTGGGGTACAGTGCTGAAATACAACACTAATGTATTTTAACATGTTGCAGAATAAAACGCCGATGCACCTGGTGACAGGGGGGTTGCATATGGACAGTAGGAATTCATTTTTATAACTTACTATAATACTACTTTTTATGCCTTACTCTTCTATGGTGTTTTTTTGTGACTTAATTACTATACTATGGGTCTTTATGCTTTACTATACTATAGCGTTTTTATGCCTTATGACTTTTTTGTTGTATGATGAATATTAATGAATTACTATACTATGACTCTTATATGGGGTGGCAAGATGGTGCACTGGTTGGAATCGTTGCCTGGGGTCCTTTCCGTGTGGAGTTTGCATGTTCTTCCTGTGCCTGCATGGGTTCTTTTGAGGTACTCTGGCTTCCTCCTGCTGTCCAAAGACATGAGCATTAGGTTAACTGGCGACTCTAATGTGTTATTATATTATGGCTTTTCATGCCATACTATGCTATGACTTTTTTTTTACTTGCCATACTATGACGTTTTTATGACTTACTATCCTATGTCATTTCTATGCCTTACTATACTATGACTTTTTTATACCTGACTATACTGTGACTTTTTATGATTTACTCTACTATGACTTTTTATTCCTCACTATACTGTGAAGTTTTTATTCTTTACTAGACATTGGTGATTTTTTATGCCTTACTATTGTATGACTTTTTATGGCATATTATACTATGGCGTTCTTATGCCTTACTATAGTATGACGTTTCTATACCATACTATACTATGACTTTTTTTGTATTAACCATAGTATGACATTTTTATGACTTACTATGCCGTTTTTTCTGATTACTATCGTAGCTAATTTTTTTTGCCTTACTATACAGTGACATTTTTATGACTTACTATATTATGACTTTTTTATGTCTTACTATACAATAACGTTTTTATTCCTTACTATACTATACATGGGATCTTTTTGGGTACTCCAGCTTCCTCCTGGTATCCAAAAACATGCACATCACGTTAATTGGCAACTCCAATGCCTTAGTATACTATGCCTTGCTATACTAAGATGTTTTTATGACATGATATATATATATATATATATATATGACGTATTTGTCCCAATATCAAGAGTGATGTTACCATATGTGTCATCTATAAGAGGATATATTATTATGACATATATACATCCTCTGGATACATGAAGCTATAAGTTTATAACATATATGAAATACTCACAGTAAAAATGCAACTTCATTAAAACAATATGCTTATTAAAATTCTACATGTTCTATATGATTTTCTTCCTTATTTCTTATGAGATTTAACTATACATGTCTGTGTCTACTTTTATATTTACATATATAATGAACATATACTGAAAGGCTTTGGGATGGATATATATTTATGTAACATATGTCTATAATATAAATCTATAATATGAATAGACATACTAAAATACATGTTTGTATTAGCTAGACATACAGTATATGTCATTATGTCATATTGTTTCAGTTCCTAACAAGTCTCACATGCAATTTTTAAATATATACAGTATATGCTATACTGTATATACATATTTAATTTTACTTCATATGTACATATATTTCATATATGGAGATTCAACACTTGTACATATATTACATTTGTGTGTGGGCATTCCTAAATGTAAATTCAGATCTTATATGTTAATAAACCGTTTGGTTTATCAAAAAGTCAATCTCTTTGTTGTGGTGGGGTGGCAGGGTTGTTGCGTCCCTTTTCATGTTGAGGCCAAACCTGCATACTTGATTAAATCAAATTCTGCTTAGGGCCGTATAAAGGCTCGGGCCGGCTCTGCCCAAACATATATCGTACATACAGTAGCTTGTTTTGTCATAAAACAGTTAAAAAATTCCAAAGGTATTCAATTTTCATTTAGATTTACAATTTTAGAAAGCACACAATAGAAGCTAATCCTCACATTTGAGAAGCTGGAACCAGCCACAGTCATGTTTGCTTGATAAATGACAAGCAAAGGGAATAAACAAAACAGAATTTTGAATTTTCTGTTGACTGAAGAAACGGTCAATAAACAAATTGTTTCAGCACTAGAAGGAACATTTTAAATTGTAATGCATCGTGAATAATGTAGGTATAGTTTAGAGAGCTCCAAACAGTTTCTCTCAGTAAAGGTGAGTGTGGAGCTATGCAAGCTAAACATTTGTGGATGACAAAACACTTGATGTTCAATTTATTGTTCAATAAATAACTTTTTTGTTTCAACCCTTTTGTTTTTGTAGTTTTTTCTTTCTTCCCTGATCCCTGCTTACACCCTGTACTGTACCACTTTATCTTTGTCATGTTATTGTGTAAAATTTGTAAGAAATGCAATAACAATAATGACCATTATAAGGAAAAAAACAAAATCTTTTACAGGCAATTTAACGTACAATATTTTCTAATCTCAAGGATGCATTCCTCAACTTCCAGGGTCCCCGAAAAACATCTTGGGCCCTTAAGTAATGTTTATTATCCTATGCATGTTCACCCTGAATAACATTTCCACACTCATTCAGTGTAAAAGATCCTAAAAAGTATTTACCTTCGACATGTTCCACAGTGTTGATCTGCAGTTTACCTTGTGTAACCATCTCTGCTGTGCTGGAAGTTGTTGAGATCATTAGTGAACGTATGTTGTCTGTGTGATGAAGCGAGAGAACCAGAGCTGCACTTGTTTACCTGTCTCTACTCCCTGCAGGGTGTGGTCTGTCCCCTTTCCCTCATCACCTGTTGCTTTCCATGAGCCAGAGACACGCACATCAACTCATACTCCATGTTGTATGACTTCTGAATGCAGCGTGCGGGTGCCAACAGGTAACATGAACCACAGAGCTGAACCAGTCTCTATGTGACTCTTCTACTGGAAAGCTTATAGTTTTTCCATTATACTCTACCGTCCACGTCCAGGAGTCTGACACCTGCTGAGTGCAGGTTATGAATAAACAATAGGTGGCATCTGAGTCTTGAAACATGAGAGCTGGTGCAGGTGATAATCTAAGTTTCCCCACATTTAAATAGTGTAAAAACTGGGAAAAGGTTTTCACAGTAGATATTTTTAAGGTGAAAGATATTGTATGGAATTAAAAAAATTTAAATTTAATAAATACAGGAGCTGGGACAATACACAAAGAGAAAAATGAAGGTAGATCAAATGACATGAATGAATTTTCTGTGTATTGACTGTTGAGTAACTGACAGCAATATGAACCCAAACATTAATTAGTCATGTAACACAGCCTCAATACACAGTAGAGGTCACTTCTCTGATGTGAAGCTGTACAACACTCATTGTGAGTGAGCTACACAGTCATATGAACCGTCATGTGAGCAGCTCATTACCATCATTTTTCAGTGAGGTCCCTTTAATGGACGGTCACATGGTGACTTGGTCACATGACAGCCAGCTCGCGACATGATTGGCACATGAATCCCGGCTGCACACTTGGGATGCTACACAAAACGCTACACACAGCAGGCTCACTTTGCCCCCTTGAACACTTTCATAGAAATTGAGGAGTTTGAGATGCAACTGTGTCTAAAGCAATAAAAAATAAATCTGTGTACTTTCGATTTGTGCTGAGGCTGTGGTGAGGTTGTTTTGTATTCCATCATGTGATATAAATCACGATTCCCTGCAGCTGCAATTTGTGATTATTCACATAATTTAAAAGACCAAGATAGATTTACTTCCCCCAGGTTTTCTTTTAAAGATTCAGTGCTTCAGGAACAGGACTCTAACTACATTTACAATTCCAGTCGTCGCTTCATTCGGATATTTTGAGAATCCCTTTCAGACTTACTGAATCAAGAAATTATTATTAAATCAAATTCAAACACTGATTTTTATAGTGTTTTGAGATGGACTGGGTTTGAGAATTAAAGAATGTTGATTAAAAAAAACTAATTCCAAAATTGAATCTACAATCTTAAACATGTAATTTATGTTCTTATGAAAAAATAAAATACTAATTCCCTTTTTACATTTTATATGTGTGTGCTGTTTCCTGCTGCAGTACAGTGTTCAGTGGTGTATAGTGTGAACGTGGACCTCTTGTGGTCAGGATAGGTAACTCAGAATTGGCTTTGGCTAAGAGAGACTAAAGAAAGGAAGAAAAGAAAAAGAAGAAAAAATATTGTTTGTTCTTACTGCTGCAGAAAAAAATGACGGATATTCCATCAGGGGAACAGTATTACATGTAATTGTTGGTGTGGCTTAAACAGCTTGGAGGACAGGTTGAACTGGTTTTAGTTTTTGCTCTGATTTGACTGGCAAAGCTTTTGTGAACGTTAACTGAAAAATGCAATGTGAGGTACAACCATCCGTCATGCTGCAACATGTTCACACATATAGACACACAAGCATTAAGCTGAGACTTATGAATGTTAAGATTAAAACTTTATTTAAAACGACTGTGGCCAGCACAGTAGGGACACACAGTGGTCATGTTGCTCACAAGATATCTGAATACAGATACCAAGTTTTTTATTTTTATTTTTTATATCTCTATCATTTTAAAGGACAACAGACTGGAGGACAAGCCATTGTTTCAGCAGGATACTTGCCTTAAGTGGAGAGATCCTCCACGTCAGGCGCCAACTGTCTCCATCATAGACTTGCGACTGAACTCATAAGCCAGGAAGAGGGCTCCGTTGGCAGGGAAGGTGCGTATCATGGTAGGAGTCAGGCCTGAGTACAGAGCAGTGAACCCTGAGGGACAAGAGAGAGTCACACAAGTCATTCCCTGCAGATGAGTCAGGCCCCCAGTTTGGGCCAATGAGCAACGAGAGGCATCCTCACTCTCTGAGGGAAAGTCAGACTAGCAGTGCTGCATTTAAACCTCTGCAAAGTTTCAAACCTCCTGCTCCCCTATTAACCCATTCAGGGTTAGTTTTATAGCTTTTTTTTAATGGTTTTATTCAAGTCTGTATTATATGTTTACCACCTTCCCAGGCTAAGTCAGGGGCCCCTGCATTTGTCATGCCAGTAAAGATTAGCACTGTGAAACTTTGGCTTTTCAAAGTCGTAAAATCTGTCATTTACTCTAGGATTTTCCCCCATTACACCAGCAGATGGCGCAGATGGTGCAGTGTGTGGCTGTCACTGTACATGAAGCATGCAGACAGAGATGAGATGTACAGTTACTGTACATTCAACTACATGTGCAAAACAGGTCAGACTCTAGATTTTCATACACAACAGTGTCTGCCATTCTCACAGAACAGTGGAATAAAAATATCGCTTTAGTGGCTGCTCTGCTGGGGTGTTTTGTTGATACCTAGTTTGCCCATAAGTACCATCATCGGGGTCTAAGCACCTCAGCTATAGACATACCTTCAATAACAATTCAGCTGCATCTATCTCCTTGTCTTTAACTGACTGTTTCACAGCTTTCAACTAACAATACTCTTTTCAAAACTCTGCTTTCACTGATTACACTTCAGCTGACACTACATTGTTTTTCTATCTTTATTCTTATTATTTCTTCTCAGCTCTTCCACTTGAACCACCATTTAAATTTCTTTCACTGACAGCATTTTGACTTCCACTTCAACTTCTTTCAGTATTTCGAAAGTTTCAAGTGCTGATTTTTTTATTTTTTGCATGTTATATGTGAAGCAAATTTCTATCTCAGCATGCTTTGCTGTTGTTATGCTGGACACCCTTCATACTGTACATACTAATATTTATTTATTACTTCTGCTACTTGTTGTCAAGTTCAATAAGTCTGATTTGTGTTATCCTTATTGTCTCCTTCACGGTCGCTTCATGTTCCTTTTTCTCTTTTTAAATAATTTGAATAATTCTGGCTAGTTATGAACACTGACTGGCAGCAGGAGACAGTATAACCACAAACCATACTTTCAGATATCCGTCCCTCCCGTCTTCTCTCTGTGTCAAAAATAACATGCCAACACCAGAAACGATAGGTGTACTCTGTCAGTACAGAAAGGAAGCTGAATAATGTATAACAAACATGGTGGCTGTAAGACCACAAAGACTCTTTTTTTCAGATACTGTATATAAGAGAAGCTCAGAAAACAATGCAAAACAAAACAAATACTGTTGGAGAATCCTCTTTTGAATGAACACGCATTAAGGTGAGAAGTGTGGCTCTGCAGTGGTTATTTCTGACCGTCTGAACTTGTTATAAACAGAATGGGAAAGTCACGTCTAGACACTAAGTGTGTGTTTGAGTCAGCACAGTCCTCCACTGAGCCAAGGTTGTAAAGAGCCAAATTATATGGTTGCTGCCCTTCAAACTATGATTATATGGTCATGTGATATAAACCAGTCGGTTGTGCTCCCCTGCTGTTGCAAACATGGTCTGGATGTAGAAACTTCAGAGGCATCTGAGAAGCCAATGATCCATATCCATTTAGGTGTATTTCAGTTTTAGAATTAACAATCAGATTTTACCTTCAGTGCGGATGATACTCGTGACGGTTTTCATGAAGCCCTCTTGCCTCCCAGCTAAGGAGTAGACCTGGATCCTGGACTTCACGCAGTCTATGGGATAGACCGTCAACCAAAGACAAGCTCCCCCAAATCCTCCGCTGAACATGAGTGGAAGAATACCTGCAAAGACCAGCATTATTCTGAGGGAGCAGATCACAAAAACATCTGCACATCATTGGCTGAAAATGCCTATTGCTCAATAATGTTCAAAATAACCATACCTATACCCTCCTTGTCTGTGCCCATGTACTGCGCAAATGTAGATCGACACAGTTCATAGGCCCCAAAGAAGCAGAAGTAACCTGGCACCTCCCTTACGATGGTAGATGTCAGTCCTTGGTAGAAACCCAGGGGACCATTCGTCTTCAAGACCGTCTTCACTACTGTCCACACTGAGCTGAGGTCACACCACAAAACACAACACAGTCAAAAGTGCATCAGACAAAAGTAAACGTGTGCTGCTCACTCCACTGTCTCCTTTTGCTCACACTGACCTCCTCTGCCCGCTCGCAATCTTGCCAGTTGCTTCCATTTCGTGCATGGCCTGCAGGCGACACTTCACCAGCTCGGTGGGGCATAAGGCCATGGCAGAGAAGATGGAGGCTAAAGACCCTGCTGATGCCTTCTGTATGTCACTGATGAGCAATGGAAAGGAGTGCAATAAGAAAAATAAACAGTAAAAAGTTTTTAGCATGCTTACAGGAAGACCACATATTTTAAGATTTTACACAGAAACATAAATTCTTTCCCATCATGACCTTAAAATAGAATTCATTTGCTCTGGTGTATTCTGATGACGCACAAAAGTCTTTGAAAATTAAGTGCACTAAATGGAAAAGCATCCTATGAATGTACCCAAGATGATTTTCTGAGAGCACATTCACATTTCCTGCTCCTGAGCTGATGGAATTGTTTCTATCCCAAAGAGCTCTTCAGTAGACAGAGTCCCCTCATCATGATATTTCTCAGAATAAAGTGTTTCTAACATTAAGAGGCATTCCCATCAAATAACTTTAAATCCAATTACAATAAAAATGTTGCTCCTCATCACATTCTATGATCTTTTTCTTGGACACAGCAATGTCAAAGATTAAACTGGTTATAGTGGTTTACAATATGGATAATTTTGATACATAGATTCCACAAGCAATCATTTTAAAATGTCCATTTTTTGTTGACCTCACTGGTTTATATCGATACCTTATGCTCTGAGATTCTACTGATGATTCTGGGTTTCAAATTAAATATCTAAAAATGTCTTGTACTGTTTATTTTACTCTAATGCTTACAGTATGTCTATATCTAACACTGATGAAGACTATTTGTTTCCTGACTACCCGGCTATGTGATTTATTCACTCAAATCTTTCTCAACGGTGTACTCCTCTGTCCAGCCACTAAAACTGAGATGAGAAAAGCTCTGAGTTGTTTAAAATAATAATATGTCTGTTCAGAATTCCTTTGCACTTTGCAGCAATTACACTTCACAACATTAGTGCCTTTTTTTTCCAGGTGCTTTTTCAGGTTTTGCTTCTCAGGTAACACACAGGCCGGGAAATGTAGGAAGGTTGTTGGGTCTGTATGAAGTCTGAGAGGAAGACAGCAGACAAAAAAAAATAATACATCGACCCCTCTTCTGCATTTAATTTCATCTTTTTGGATTCACACTAGAACTGAACACCAGGCCAAGATAATGTAGTAAAGGATATTTCTCTTTGTAGTAAAGATGGCTGCATTAATAATGCAGCAATGCGTATAGTGTATAATGACCATTAGCAATATATTCTATATATTCGACCTATATTTTTTGGTTGAATAGTGTCTGACTTCATTCTACTTTAGGGTGCAACGAGGGGTTAGTATTGTTAGCAGTTTAACTCTTATTATTAGTCTATACATAATATTTTGATTTAATTAATCATTCAGTCCTCAAAGTGTCTCCCAGATATTTAATTTAGAATGACAAAAAATTGTGTGACCAGACTCCATTATGATACTGCATTGCACAATAGAGTATGGTGAAAAGCTTTACTGCACAGGGAGTGGGCAGAGGAGGCAGAAACACCTTGATAGCAGGAGATGGAAGAAAATGTGGAGGAATAAAATAGCATCATCATCGATGATATAATATACTGACAGTTTGACATGTTGTTCATCACGACAGCCAGCTATGGAGCTTATGGTGGAAACACAAATAAATGCACAGAAAATGTCAGCGTCAAACCTGAGTTCTGTCCCTTTATCCATCCTGGCCATGAGGCGGACTGCGTCCTGGCAGAGGCCGTAACTCAAGAAGAGCACGGCGTTCTCACTGATGTTGGCTATAAGGGCCGGGGTCGTGCCTTTGTAGAGACCACGGAGTCCCATCTGTCTGAAGGTTGAAATGAAGCAGTGGATGAATCCGCGGTACATGGTGGGGAACGTCTGCATCTTCACCTTCGTGGTGTCAAACGGCTGACCGCTCAGCACACAAGCCGTACCGCCTGAGGAAAGATGACAAGAGATGGAAGGTTCATTCACAGAGATGCAACTTATCAGAGCAGAAGTACCCAAAGTCACTTGACAGTTAAGGTACTTTTATTATCATGCTCTCACAGGATCTTATATGATGGATATGGATATGACTTTGTGAATACATACGCTAACTGTAAACTGCACAAACTAATATTTGGTTACTAAGGTTGGTCGTGGCCTGTGGCTGACCTCACTGCTTCTCTCACACTTGTGAGTGTTTCAGAGTGTTAAGTACACTAAATGCTATTTCAGCACTAGCCTAATAATAGTTATAAATTATAGAAGAATCAGACATAAGGCAATTAAGTCTTTTTTTTATAAAATAAAATGAATGTATAAAGCCTCTCTCTGCAATAAATAGAGAAACGGTGGGAATCCAGGAATAAAACAAATAGTATGCACACTCACTATATGCTAACTTAAATTCTATTGTAAAATTATGTTGAATAACTTGATTTATCATGAGGTTTGAAGTTAGTGAGGGTCCATGGTCTGATCATCACCGGGTCCTCCAGAGAGGAGTGTCAAAGTGTCCTTGAGCAAGACTCTGAACCTTTAACTGCTCCTGATGCTTTGCCATCAGTGTGTGAATGTGTATATGAATGTGTATAGCCCATTTACCATTTTACCATATGATCAGCTGTGTACAGACAAAACCCACCTATTGCTCCCGCTGTGAAGTCAATGATGGCCTGGATTACAGGGTGTGGAGCCATGATGTTTCAGAAGATGCTGCCAGCCTGAAAATATCAACAGTTGAGGCTATTCAACAACCATCATCTCTTCACACACAAATACAAATGCAATCGCAAAAGTGAAAGTAAACATACTAATGATCTGCAAAGGTATAAAATACAATAAAGGATAATAAATATTTAATGCTCACCTGTGCGCTCCTCAGTCTGCAGCAGCTGATCTTAACCTGTTTTCTTCCTTCACATACAACAACAGTGAAAACATTTACTCCAACACAGCACGTCGCTCTACGTGGGCACTAGATGACCGTGACCTTGACAACTAGTCAACACCTTTCCAGGTAATAAGTTTCCACGTGAGCATCTTAATTCGCAGAATGAAACTCAGATTTTCAGGAACAGATTTCAGCTTTAAATTCCGTTGCAGGAGTTTAATGCGTCACTCTACTTCCGTTTTCCAAGCAACGTCTTATGAAATGCTGGTTGGTTACAACAAGTGTCTCCCGCCATGCGCACCAAGTGCGTTAGCAGTTTTATCAAAATATGCAGAGGAAGTCACAATGATACAGGAAACAGTTGGTCTTAAAACCAAAATTAAAGCATGATAATTAGGGGTAAAATTAGGCCGTTACATCGACAAACTGTAAAGAGGCCCTGTCTTTAATATATACTGTTACATATCATTTTGTGACTGTTGACACGGCTGAAAAAATGATCTATATTATTATTTCATCTTCGATCTATCTTTGCTTTCAATTAAAACACATTTAACAGTTAGCTTTATTTTGAAACAACTAAGCACTGTACATGCTCTATTTTAACTCACACTGACTTGACATAGGTGTCTGGTTGGAATTAAAGGTAGGCCTACTACATAAATCATCTTTTTACGTGACAGCTCAGAGTTGATGATAAGTAAACACAATTAAAAAAAAAAAAAAAAACACGCCGGTGATGGAAAATATATGCCATGTGTTTCAGTGTTTCGTTAGTCTTTGTCATGCTGGCTGCATGGGCTGGGGAGCTGTTAAATGCGGAAGAGATGCGATGCCGGCTGTGTCTGGGTGTAATACCTAACACTGGCCACAGGGTGACAGCGTACTCCATAGTTAGCTGAGGACACTGAAACACCTCTGGTCCAACAAATCACCAAGGACCAGCTCCTACAAAGTGAACACAGAAACTGGTTTGGTTCATTAACGTACCACAGAAGAGCCACTCTTTATTTGAATCAAAATATTTTTTTAATCTTTCTTTTCTTAAAATTCTCAACTCTATCATTATATACAGTAGGCTATTATCAATATTTTAAAGGTCTATGTATTTCTATCTTAACCCTATAGTTTTTGAGATTTTTTTATTTAGTATTTGTTTGTGAATTTTGTAAACTCTGTAGGCTACTTTAACTTATTCTACACTATGATTATTTGCTGCAGCAGAGTGTTAATATTTGTTTGGGTGGAAAATTAATTTAGAAACTGTCTCATAAAGAGTAGTAGGCCTATATGGGGTCTAACTTTCAGGTAGCAGCGCATGAAAAAATATAAGTTGGTATCATCTCCCTTGAATATTATCCAGCAGATGAATGAATAAAAGAGAAGAAGAAGAATATTTCTAATTAAATGTGAAGGTGATGACAAAGATACATTAAAACACAAACACAACTATTAGAAATATAAAGGAAAATGTAGGCTTATAGGCCACACTCTCTAGACGTCATGTGTAAAATAATATACTATATTTAACTTTTACATTAATAAGAAATTTTCTAAGAGAGAGAAACACAGCTGACAGAAAAAAAATAGTTTTGTTTTTTTTTTTCGTTTTTTTTTCTTTTTTTGCTCCACATATTTGCCAGGCGAAAGAATGAAAACAAGGAATTTTTTTTTCATCTAACTCTTTCGGTCTCATTCATTGGAGCTCTTCATGTGTCAATCAAATGTGGGCGGTGTCAGCCGCTAAATGATACTTCCAGTAAGTCCTCACATGCTGTACAACACAGAGAGTCAACAGGCTGTACGGGGCGCAGTCTCAACATCACTACGACTGGATAACAACAACAAACCAGCGGCTCAGCGCTCTGTGGCCACTTACACAACTTTTTTCACGTGAAAGGCCTTTTCAGAAAGATCATTTTTATCACTGTTGACTCAGATTTTTACCGGCTTGGGATGTAACTGTCAGTGTAGAGTTTGCGCCCAGGCGGAGCACTGTTTTCCCGGACAGATTTATCTCCTGTTCGCTCACATTTCACAGGCGAAGCTACAACTTTTGAGGGGCGACATATTTTGCCGCTTTTACATGACATTGTAACACTTGGCTCCGTCACCTCTCGACCATGGCGGAAGCGGCCCAGCAGCCACACCTGGTGGAAATCGACCCGGATTTTGAGCCCCTGCCGCGGCCCCGCTCCTGCACTTGGCCCTTGCCCCGACCGGAGTTCATCAACCCGGGCGACTCCAACACGTCATCGCCGGTGCCGTCTGTGAAGCAGGAGCCCGCCAGCAACGCCGAGTTCATCAACAACCTGAGCCTGCTGGAGGAGTCCGAGGACTTCCCGGAGCAGAAACCTGTCATCCTGTGCTCTGATTTTCAGTGTCAGGAGAACTGCGTCCACCAGCAACCTCCACAGCAGCAGCAGCAGCAACAGCAGCAACATCAGCAACAACATCAGCACAAACATCAGCAGCAGCATCAGCAGCAGCAGCACCCGAACCCGCAACTCCCGCATCAGCAGCAGCAGCAGCAGCAGCAGGTGCCTCTGCTCTCCTCCCCGGTCGGCTCCTCGTCCTCGGCGGCCGCGGCCGCAGCTGCCGCCGCTGCCCAAAGGAAGAGCAGCTCCTCCCGGCGAAACGCATGGGGGAATATGTCATATGCAGACCTCATAACCAAAGCTATCGAAAGTTCTCCTGAGAACCGACTAACTCTGTCTCAGATTTATGACTGGATGGTGAAGAGTGTGCCATATTTCAAGGACAAAGGAGACAGCAACAGCTCTGCAGGCTGGAAGGTATGTTTGTTTTTGTTGTTTTTTCTCTTTTGTTACTTTTATCCTAGGAGATGCAGTGTGTTTGTGGTGGCAATTCACAGCATGAATGGCTGCTGCCTATGCCTGATAGAGCAGTCCCTGTGCCAGGCCAGTTCTTGAACAAAGTTTTCCAGTGGGGAGTTTTGGTGTGTCTGTGGTACTTAACAGTGTGTTCACAGGGACTTTATTGTGCTTTATGATATATTTTTTTATCTCCTGTGGTATCACTGTAATACCTCTCCAGGGCTTTCTGGCTTTTCTGCGGTGTTGAATAGTCATTTTATTGTGACTATATAATCTATTTGGTCAGTGTTGTTTATTTTTTTATGTTTTCATTATCTGCTGTATCTTTCATCATCCATCTTTGGTAATACTGTTACATCTCCAGCACAGACTTCAGCTAATATTTGCACTTTGCACACCTTACTCTGGTCACTGAAAAAAAGAAGTTAAGTGACTGGTGAGTTCTTCTATCATTTGCTCATGGTCTTGTGAAACTATGTTTCCCTTCATTGTCATCCATCAAGTTCATGCCAATTCAGTAAACTGACCAATTGCAACCATGACCTTAGACAGTCATCTGACTTCTCCCTGCAGTATGTGATTTATATGAGTCTGCTGACTCAACAGGGTTTTTTTCTATTTGCCTTCTTGCGTTCCTGAATGTCCCAAATGCTGAAAGTATGATTGAGACAGCTCTGTTCTCTCAGTTATTATTTTATAAATGAATGGTAGATTTTAAGGCAAATTCACACTTTTCCATATTAGAGTGTGCCCACACTGAAGCTGTGTTTGGACGTCTATGTCGTGAGGAGATACCAGAAGCATTCATGTGTCCTGGAAACTGTCCAAAGCATTACACAAGAGGGGACTTAAAATTTCTGATGTGGTGTGACAGGCCCTCCCACTGAACACTATTGTAGGGCGTAAACCTCCTTTTGGAGACACGTAGTTTCAGTGGTGTCTGACAATAAATTGATGACAGTCTCCTCTCAGTGGGAAATCATATTGAGCCTGCAGTCACACAGTGAGAGATTTATTATGGCTTCCCTCTGTTATATGCTGTCTGGCTTGCTGATGAAATGTAAAGCAGTTGTGGGGTGTTTGTGTTGTTGTCTCCCCCTTGTCAGAGCAGGCTCCCATGTTTGAGTCATGTGCTGAGAGATGACACACTCATGTCAGTCACAAATGCCAGTGAGAATTTCTTGTTTTAGTTCTCGCAGAACCACACAGACACAAAATTAAGTCATTTTTTATATTTTGCCTTCTTTTTTTTTTTTAAAAGGTTGACTGAGAACTAATGCAGCTTTCAGCAACGCCCTGCTCCATATTCATTCATTTGAGCTCAGTGTTTACAAAAAGCACAAAACTCGTGTTGAGCTGTCAAACGTAGTCCTCTCGGTCAAATTATATGAGAGTGGAAAAACCCCTTCAGTGTAAACAAAGCAGGTGCTGGGCAGATGTGTTGCTAGGGTGGTGATATTGTCCAAGCAGCTTTGGCCATCTGAAAAAAGCAACGTCCCTTCATTCATTCATCATACGCATTAAAAGGTTCAGCATCTATGCTGCTCTGTGTCTTTGTTATGATCTGTAGGTAAGGTGATTTTATCTTCAAGTGTGCTTCTTGAGTGTACAGTGTGTGTGTCCCTCTGTTATATGATAGAATTTGCTCTCTGTTAACAATATTTTTGCTTGAATAGAGCAAAGATGTTGTTTGCCAATGAGCAGGGAATCATCCGAAATACTTCTGGTTAATTCATAAAACAAAACAAAGAGAGACAAATTAGTGTGGGAAATAAAAACTGAATACACCTATGAGGACCCCGGGATAATTATTAACAAGTTTGTGGAAGCTAACACAGATTCGAGTAAAGACAGGCAGCAGTGTGTGGTACGGTGACACCTGAGAACACACACACCTACAGATTGTTAGTCATGTAGAGTCTTAGGTTGTGGTGAATCAACAGAGAAAAAAAAAAAATCTGAACTGATGTTGACTTTAAAGGTGGGAAAATCCTTTATATTATCAGTTTTACATAGACTTTTCATTTGGCAACATGATTGTCAGCAGTCATACCAGCCCCTGGATGACCATGAAACAGCTGAGGTCAACACTTTCTCAGTGACACTCACTGGTTACAGTGTAATTAGGAAGTTATTATGTAGCAGAGTGTAGTGAAGACAAATCACTGTGAGTTAATTGTCTCCAGCATCATTAAGTACATTAGCAGATCATTTACATCTTGAAAAGCATGCAGCAGAGTCACAGTGACAAAAGACGTGAACGTGTCTTTGTGTCTTCAGCAACACACCTAAATAAACAGTGGAGCTTCTCGCCGTCGCTGCGTCTGTTTAACAGTTTTTGTGTGATTGGCGGCTTGGAGAGGGGCGCTCAGCCATCGCCTGGGCTCGCTGCTTATCCTGCCATGTTGGGGGTGTAGGCTGAGTAATACTGTGGGAAAGAAAAGTGCCATTCACTGCTGCGAGGGGAGTTATTCATAGAGCTCCCCTCGGTTACACACAGGGGGGCTATCACACATTGTCTCTTCAGAGCGAGCTTACTTATGAGCCGAGGAGAGAATGCCTCTGTGGTAAACATGACAATGTAAAATGTTAATTCTCTCTCCAGCCATGTGTTTTCTCTTGTGCTGTTTCTTCTTCAATGGCCCTTTGAAGTAAAAAGATATTTTCAGACAGTAATTAATCAATCAGTATTTAAGTCATTGAGTTTATGAATTTGACAAAATATTTGTTCAGCAACAAATCAGGTTTTTTATATAGTATAGTAGAATAGCTTTTCATCTTGGACTGCATTGTTATATTCTGTCTCGACTGAGGTGACATGACTGATTGGAAACATAAAAATATGTAAATTTTGTGGCAGACTTTATTCCAGAGACACCAGCTTTGCAAAATGACTCTAGACATTCAAACAAAAGCACTCAGACTAAATAACCTCCCATTCTTACCCAGTGAGCCTTCAAGAGAAAATGAAACAATGCTCGGAATGAGAATATGCTGTGGGGTTTGGAGAGGTATTGGGTTGACTCGCTGGTTGACTGTTAAGTCATACGAAGGCGAAGGTTTGTGGTGGTTTCTTTTGTGCTATGAGACACAGATCTCAGTGACAGAAGTCACAACATAAATGTTTTGTTTCTCTTCACCAGTGACATCTTGAATCTGTTGTATTTTACTTTTGGTTCGATCTTTCCTAAGTTACCGAGGATCATTTCTCCGCCTTACCGATCTCCCTGAGCAGTCTGGGTTCTCCTGAAGTGAACTGGCTGAAGCACATGAAGATTTCATTAATATATGATTAAGACTGTCTGCTCTGTAATTGTTTAAGGCTGAGCTTGTTTCACAGCGCTGCTGATCCTCCACATTCGGTCGTGTCTGATCTGAGTCATGACAGCCTCCACACTTCTCAGGCCGTCTGCGACAGTGTGAATTTTGAGGACAGTTGTGCCAGGTGGGACCAGCTTGGAGAAGCTCTCCAAGTGGACTGGACACTGGCCCTGGCACAGGGCGCTATCCAACAGGAAGAAGAACAGATGGCACAAATTATGTATCACCAAACCTTTCTGCAGAGCTGGTTATTTATTTCTGATATGCTCGTTCCACTCTGCAAAATGTTATTAATGTTAAATAGCTTCAGGCTGCAGCACACACACAAATTGCACACATGCATTAATAGAGTATAATATATACAGTACACACACATCCTTGCGTACCTGCCAAAAATCTGTTCTTTCTTGTATTTCTCTACTATACGTACGTCACCACAGGATAAATATTTGGTTTCAGCCGCTGGAGCTGGATGGCTCAGGCGCTCTTTGATGTCAGTTTGGAGATCAATTCGGTCATAGGTTTTCTCTGTACACGGCGCTCTCTTGACCTGAAATTCCTCAGCCTATGCTGGTAAACACTCCCACGGATCTCAAAACAAACTGTGCCGGAGCAGACAAACACGCAGGTCCGAGCAGATTGTACAGCGAGTGACACGAGGGTCATTACCATGTAAATGCACCCATTGACTCCAATCCCACTTAGTCCTACAGTAAACACTGTAGGTATCACCGAGAGGAGACACTCAGATAGGTCGTGCAGTAGGTCAGGATATGAGTGTGTGTGGAATCTGTGGGTCTTGGAATCTCTGATCTGGCTTTATAATCACTTGATGAATCCCAGGACCTGACAGGTGATTGAAAACAATTTGTGTTTCAATTGAGTTGCACTGACCGTATAAGGAGGAGTTCATCGGAATATGGGAAGCAATTTCTTAACCTCCAAGCTTTACTATGCCTTTAGCTGTGGCCAGTTACTTCATGAGCATGTCAGTCTCAAAAATGTCAAGAAACTGAAACCTCATGAACCCAGCTAACCTCACCAAACTTTATCAAACTGGTGCAAAAATACTGTTAATGTAACATTACCATAAAGCAGTCCTCTTTATTGATTTGCTACATAGCAGTTGTCAGCAAGGAGTGCCACACTGGTATCAGCGGTGTAGCAAAGTCTTGCTGTATACACTACCAGTCATACATTTAGAGCACCTCAGTTTTTTTTAGCTGTTATGCACACTTACATAATTCATTGTCTCAGTGTTTCTCAAATTAAAGCAGAGAACAAATAAACAATTGGAGATTTTAAAAATGAGGAATCATGGAATCTTTTTGTTGAACTAAATTTGAACAAAATCTTTGATCGAAACTCGCGTCGTGTTTTCTACAATGGAAATCAAATATTGCTCAGAAAGTTTTTCCCAACACTGTTGCAGAAGTTCCCATGAATGTGTTGCACTTGCAGGTTGCTTTGCTTTCACCTTCAGTTCATCCCAAACCAGCTCCTTGGGGTTTAAGGGGTTCCCACTGTCTAATTCTTTTCTTCTGATGTTTTGGGTCATTCTCTTGCTGTCGGATGAACCTCTGACCAACCAGTCTGTCTTCCTTTGTTACTTGCCTTATTCTCCCCATTCTGACAGC